TAATAATAATAATAATAATAATAATAATAATAATAATAATAGTAATATAGGAATGGCCATCATTCTGTGTGTAAGAAGATTGGCTACAAGAGATAGATCCAAAGTCCATGGATGCTGAAGTCCCTTATAAACAACTTTGTATTTACATAGACCCCGTTGTATCCTCTTGCCTGTTTACGGGTTCTAGGGATTGAACACCGGGTTTCACATGCTGTGCCGGTGTTCTATGCTAGGCTTCACTGCCAGCTCCCGGTATTTTCACCTACCTGCAAGTTCCTTATTTCTAACGCACTCATGCAGTGTCACTAGTCCACAGATAGTTGGTAGACTGTTGTATAGGCCCTAACGGGAAGAGGACAAACAAAAAAGACATTTCCTACATGTTTTGTACAGTTGCAGATACATAAACACACGTGCATAGTTTTATCCACTCCTGAAGACCCTGGGTCTCCAGAACCAGGGATACGGACAGCGGCTGCTTGTCTGAGGGAAGCAGAAGCCCTGGCCTTGTGTAAACCAACCCTGAGTTCTAGGTTAGGCTCACTGGGGCCTCTTTGAGAGCTGCCTGCTGCTGCTGCTTTTACTGGTTGTAGTTTTTAATTTTCCCAGTCATTTGTTTTTCAAACTTATTTCAAATGTAGACTTTTTTAAAAATTTTATAGCCGAGCGTTGGTGGCGCAAGCCTTTAATCCCAGCATTCGGGAGGCAGAGGCAGGTGGATCTCTGTGAGTTCGAGACCAGCCTGGTCTACAAGAGCTAGTTCCAGGACAGGCTCCAAAGCCACAGAGAAACCCTGTCTCGAAAAACAAAAACAAAACAAAACAAACAAAAATTATTAATTTACTTTGTTTTGTTTTGGGGGGAGTGTTGTTTATTTGTTTTGTTTTTTAAAGCCTGGTCTTAATGTGGCTTAAACTGGCCTTGAGTCAACTGTATAACCAAGGATTGCTGAATGTTTCTCTTCCTTCTGTCTCCATAGTGCTGTGATTAGAGGCATACGCCACCACCACAGCTAGTTCACATAGTGGTGGAGATGAAGCCGAGGGCTTCATGTGTGGCAGGCAAGGACTCTGCTGGCCAAGGTGCTCTTAACCCTTAAGAGTTTTCTGGGAGGAGTCTAGAGCGGTGGCTGAACAGTTACGAGTGCGTGCTGCTCTTACAGAGCTCAAGTATGGGTTCTGAGACTCGACTCTCACAGCCCAGGCCTCTCCTGGCCTCTGTTTGGAAAACACAGGCACGCATATACAGATATTTTACATCCAATACCGCTTTCTCTTAGCATGCCTTTTAGAGAGAAATGTTATGTTACCTTCTGGATTATTGTATTATTGTAACGGATGTCAAAACTTAAGAATTTTATGAAGCTTGTTTCAAGAGTTTTGTGAGTAACTAGATAAAAGTTCACGGAACTGTTGCATTTAAATTAATTACTAGGGCAACCAAAGGTAGAATGGACAGGCCAGCCACTGCTACCGCGTCTGCTGACTGGAAAACACAGTGAGCAGATAGCAAAGCCAGTCACTGTCAGATGTGGAACTTAAAGCAATGATTCCCAGAAAACTTTTTTTTTTTTTTTCTGTGAAAATAAGAAGAAGGGTGTATTTAAGGTAGCCTGGATAAACTTAAGCAAACTAAGAAAACAACTCTTGGCTTAGAGCATGAACTAATATTTCTTTTTCCTTTTTAGAAAGACAACAAAGTTGCTGCATAGTCTACAAACAAGTCTTTGAAAATAGGTGACTCCTAGCTCTTCATGGTCCTGGAAAGTGGTTTCAGTCTTTGTGAAGAATGAAGAAGTGAAGTTGCTGTCTGTCTGTCACCAGCACTTGGTTGTGTCTGTCTGTGTTTCTGCTTCATTTCAAAGCTGCACTGCAGTTGCTTTGGGGCAGGAAGGCTTGTCTTAAAACATGAGCATAGGTTATGTGGAGTAGCAGAAGGCTGTGATCCTTGCTAGAGTTGAACCACAGTGAGCTGAATGGAACCGCTAAGTCTTTTTTTTTTTTTTTTTTTCTTTCTTTTTTTTTTCATCACTGAAAGGATTTTTCTTGTCACTAATTAATTGTATTTGGTGATTACTTCCAGCTGCCTGCAGATAGGCCGTGATACTGTGTTTGAGCCACAGAAAGTTTGCGTGCGTGCGTGCGTGCGTGTGCGTGTGTGTGTGTGTGTGTGTGTCTTTTTCTTTTTGGAGAGCCTATAATATGAGGTAGCTTATTTTGACACTTAATTAGGGTGCTGGATGGTAGAGAATTTTGTCAGTCAACTATGTACACACAGGTAAATACTGTTTCTTAGGCAAAGGTAACTTTTTTATATAGTTGTAAAATTCCATTATATTCCATTGCCAAAGAAACATTAAGAACTTTGTATAGCTGTATAAAAAGCAACTAATTTTTTAAAGAATAAACGTTTAAAGTCAGCAAACATACGTGTCCTTGCAGAAGTCAGTGTGCTGAGGAGCAGGGCTACGGGTGGGTCCTTTCCCTTTGCTTTCCAGGGTTAAGGTTTTTGATTTCTTTTTTAATGTTTGGAACACAAATGAAGATTTGATAACTTTATTCCATTATCTAAAAAGAATAAATTATTCATGCATAGTGTATGGACTTCATTTTGTAGCAGATCACAGGATTTGTCCAAATAACAGATATTTTCAGTGTATGAATGTAAATGATCACAGATGAGAATGTACCTCGCTGTATTTTCAGATGAGTAACCCTCCCCTTTTTAAGACATTAAAGCTAGGCGTCCATTGCCCTGTTTTCCTGCTGTGCCTGAATTCTGTTGCGATGACACTTCAAGAAGATGGGGTTTTCGGAATCCTCATCACTGACACAGCTGTGGGCCTGTGACCTACTGGTGACTCCGTGTACACGTTTGTTGCTAACTGTAAATTACTAATAAATCTTTTTAATATTTAAGCTATAGTGAAAAAGATCTGGCCACTTTGTTTTTAACGAAGGCCATGAAATAAAGGGATCCAAAGATTTAAGTATTTTTATCTAATTTGATCTTTGTTACCTTTCCCATTAAAACATTCAGTAGTGATAAGGGTGTGGGAAACAGCACTGTAGGAGGATTAGACTACTTAAGGATGGTTGGTTATTTTTTAATTTTCTATCTTTTGTGTAGATGAACAAGGAAATGTTTTGTAATTTGGTTTAATTGTTGAGATCCAGTACTTGGCAGCCATAGTTTACTGTGTACCTGCCTATGAACAGCTAACCCTTTTAGGGGACCCACAAATCATGACATTGAACACATTTTTAGGCACTCTGAGCATCAAAGCACGTGCTGTACCAATACCTCAAAAAATACTGTCCCCGGCCAGTTCCAGAGGAGCTGTAAATGTCAATTCTTCATGCTCATGCCCAATGAGCTCACACTTTTTCATAGTCCCCTGGGTCACTGACTGGGGTATTCATTGTCCCAGTAATAACTGGCAGCAAGTATGTCCACAGTGCACCTTCCAAAAGCAAGGCTTTTATCAGGAGCTATTCTGTGAACGTGTTCTCAAAGTTCTTTCGTAAGTAGTGACATTCTCTTCCCATGGGAAGATTAATGGGAAGCATCTTGGGTGCCAGATGCAGCAATGGTAATGTTCGCCCTGAAGTAACTAAGTTGTGTCTGCTTCCTACACTTGTTTGTAATTGTAGGAAAGCTGGAAATCCCTTTCTCCTGTGAGCACAGTACACTCACTAAGATCTGTGGCGTGAGAATAGGCCATCTACACATAGGCCACACAGGAACACTGTCCAGAGTGCACCCCCGGGGGCAGGTAGGTGTAGGAAATGCCAGACTTGGTCTGCAGATGTAGCTCAAGGCAGTGGAGAGGTCGACCCGCAGCCCTGGGTTCAATCCTCAGCACCACACAAGTGATAAAGATGGAAACCTTCTGTTTCTCCCTCCAAGAGGACTTGATGTGGGGTGAGGGCTGAGAGTGTTGACCCAGCCCAGAGGTTCTGGGGCAGGGTTGGATTGACCTCCACAGGATGCTAAGCAGTGTGAGAAGTGGTGTTTGGCTCTGGATAGCTAGGGTGCATCGTTGGTATTTAAGATTATAGGGCTGAGCCTGGTGGTGGTGGCACACGCCTTTAATCCCAGCACTGGGGAGGCAGAGGCAGGCCTGGTCTACAGAGGGAGTTCCAGGGCTACACAGAGAAACCCTGTCTCAAAAAAATTGCAGAACCATTAAATGGTATACACACCTTTAATCCTAGCACTCGGGACAGAGGCAGGCGAAAGAAAAAGTGTGTGACTGGGGTAGGTATCAATCATTGTAACAGCTCAAAGTGTAGTGTTGTCCCTTCTACCTCCTAAAATACTAGCTGTGGGGAATTGGGGTGATGACCCAGTGAGTAAGGACACTTGCTATGAATGCCTGCAGACCTGAGTTCAGGTCCCTGGGACCATGTAAAAAAGCACTCGATGCCTGTGTATGCATGTAACCCCCAACATTGGGCCACACAGCCCAGGTGAAACAAGCTTCTAGTCCATTGAGAGGCCCTATCTCAAGGGAAGGAAGTGTCAAACCATAAAGAGACACATCTAATGTCCTCTGGTGGCCAGTCTCGTGTATCCCCTCAAACGTGCTTACGCTACACTCTAAAGAAACCCTGGCTGCGAAAAGACAAGTGAGAGACTTACTTTTCCTGACAACTAGAAAGTATTTGCTGCCATGTGGGCCATGGCAGCACAAGGCATGCAGGAGCACCCCCAGGAGCACTGTCAGCCTTAGGTGGAAGAGCTGCCATGTTATCCTCTGTCTCTGTGATCCACAAGGCTCGGATGAGAATCTGCCAATGAGCATTTGTCCTCTTGGTTGTATTGTTTTATGTATGCCTATGCACAGTGAGTGCCTGAGGCGGTCAAAGTCAGGTCCCCTGGAACTAAAGTTACAAATGGGTGGTTGGTTGGTTGTGAACCACCAAGTGGATGCTGGGAATCAAACTCGGGTCCCCAATGCTGTTAACCACTGGGCCATCTCTCTAGTGCTCCCCTCCCCTTTAGTTATTTTTGTCAGGCCTCATGTAGCTAGGGTTGATCCTGAATTTATTCTGCACTCCCCAGCTATGAGGTGTAAGTCTGCACCTTGTACCCAGTCTCTGCAGCACTGGGGATGGAACTAAGGCTTGGTGCACACTGGGAGACTGTGTGCCAACTGAGCGACCCTCCCATCTCAGCATCCCTTTTACAGTAGCCTCCCATGTGCTATTGCACTGCTCCAGAGTGCTTTTGAAGTTATTCCATAGGGCCTAGAATCTCACACCTCACCTCACAGGAAGCTGTGATCAGCCAGTATCACCATTGGCTCAGCTGATTGACCTCTGAGAGCCTGGGGAGAGTCCACAATAGGAATAGATTTTCCTCACCCTTCCAAATTCAAGCCCCATATATCCTTTTTAAACTGAACTTTAATGTGCATGCACACACACACAATGAATGAATGAATGAATTGCACGTTACCGCTGTGTAGTCTATGCTGGCCTTGAATTCACCATCTTACCTCAGCCTTCCTGGGGTCACAAATGTTAGCCACCATACCTGACTAAAGAGGAGAAACATGCCAGGTGGTGGTGGCGCATGCCTTTAATCCCAGCACTCGGGAGGCAGAGGCAGGCAGATCTCTGTGAGTTCGAGACCAGCCTGGTCTACAAGAGCTAGTTCCAGGACAGCCTCCAAAGCCACAGAGAAACCCTGTCTTGAAAAACCAAAAAAAAAAAAAAAAAAAAGAGGAGAAACATTTCTCTAGTTTTCCTTCTTCTAGCAAACAGCAAATGAGTATATACTGTAATGGGCCTGTCAGGCTGCTACGTGACCCTGCATTCCCAGCAGAGGCCGAGAAGCGACTTTTTTTTCTATGAATCCGTATTTTAAGCTCCTTGAGTCTCTGCATGTGCTATGTCTGCATTTAGTGTTGGGCCCCTAGACCATACTCAGTAATTTAAAGTTTGTGTTGACACTGGGATGTGTCAAGGTGTGAGGTAATCAAGGTGTCTGTCTCTGAGAGCCCAGATGGTACTGCTCAATTTACTGGTTAAGATGGCTTTAAGCCAGACAGTGGCACATGCCTGTAGTCGTAACACTTGGAAGGCGGAGGCAAGTAGACCTGAGTTCAAAGCCACCCTGGCCTACAGAGTGAGTTCCTGGACAGCCAGGGCTACATAGAAAAGAAAAAGGGAAAAAAAAAAAGGGGGGGTTTTGTTTTTTTTGAGACAGGGTTTTTCTCTGTAGCTTTGTAGCCTGTCCTGGAACTCAGTCTATAGACCAGGCTGGTCTCAAACTCACAGAGATCCGCCTGCCTCTGCCTCTGCCTCCCGAGTGCTGGGATTAAAGGCGTGTGCCACCACCACTCATCTTTAAAAAATGAGTTTTAAGAGTTGGCAGTGGAGTTCAGTGGCAGAGTACTTGCCTAATGTCTACAAAGTTGTGGATTTCATACCAACACCCAAAAAAAGGTAGGAATGGAAGTCTTGAAAATAACAGTTTCCTCCCGAATCAGGGTGATAAATGGAGACTTGCCACATAGACTTGTGGTGACAACTTCCTGGAGGAGGTATCTGAGTAGAAGTCATCCAAGGATGTCACAGTCCTGAGTGTCGGCGGCCAACTGCTAATGTGCCCACCTGACCTTGAGAGACAAGCTCCCATGGGAGCAGCCTTCTGAGGAGGAGCCAGCAGAGGTGCTAGGCCTGTTTGCCAGCCGTAAGACAAGGGCTTGTGGTTTTGAGGCTCCAACAGCACAGGGCCAGACCACATCTAAGGTGGCTTCTGTTCTCCGCTGTGGACCTGTGAGCCCTTGTCCTAAACCCCAGCTCTGGTCATAGTTAATAAAGTTGGCTTACTGATTAAAAACACTTAGGCTATAAACCTATCAAAACAGACCCAAATCTAACTCCAGGGGCATAATGAGGTTAATTTTAAAGAAATGCTTTAGAATGTGCTGATGCCATGTTACAGTTGAAGTTCCAGGGTTTCAGGGAAACAAGGCAGCTGTGTGAGGCGAGGGCATGTTTCGAGTCAAGAGTGAGGCTTTCTTGGCGTGACTCATAGTTACCGGCCAAGAGCCACTCAGCCAGAAAGGTACCTCTCCTCTAGACGCCAGCAGTCTGAAAGCAAAGAGTGCCCAGCCGGAAGCATTGTGTGGAGCCTGGGTCCAGGCCAGATATAATGAGTTCCAGCTGATGCCTTTTGTAAAGACGTTCTAGAACCAAAGACATACTAGGTGTCTGGAGGGCACCTATATAACCCAGGAGCTGCTCTAATCCAGCTAGTCCCTGGCTGCTAGTCTCCTGGGCCTGCTGGCGAAGGTGCAGATCCCAGCCGTGGTGCAGGAGTCTGCTGAAGACACTGCAAACTGCATTAGCTGGACAATGGCTGTCCTCACCCCATTCCCCTAGACTTTGTCCCCTGGTAAGTACAGGGAGCATGGCAGGCTGTAGTTTATAAGGTGGAATTAATAGGTTTTCTCTCCATGAAAGCATCACGTGTGAAAAGGAAGGAATAGAGATTGTGTTTTGGAGACAAGATCTTTCCTACGTATCCAGGCTGCTCTCCAACATGCCATCCTCCTGCCTTAGTATGTGTACTCTAGCCAACGCTGACCTTGAACTTTTAAAATCCTCCTGCCTTGGTGGTAGCGCATGCCTTTCATTCCTAGCCCTCGGGAGGCAGAGACAGGCAGATCTCTGAGTTTGAGGCCAGCCTGGTCTACAAAATGACTTTCAGGACAGCCGGGAATACACAGAGAAACCCTGTCTCAAAAAAAAAAAAAAAAAAAAAAAAAAAAACAAAAAATCCTCCTGCCT